TCCGTATATTAAGTGATGTCTTCATTTGAGGTGTAATCACTGCAAAAATACACTTGCGTATAGATATTTTCCCCTAGGCTGACTACAATAAAAACGGCACACACATACACACAACAGACACAATTCTTGTACCAATTCCTTTGGTTTGACTCAAACTGGGAATGCGATGAGAAAAACTAACATTTGGCATACTCTGCGTAATTTGTTAGATGAAAAAAAAACGTCTATATAAAAATGTTGTTGTTGTTGTTTTTTCGGAAATGGGGAAATATTCTTTAAGATTCTGACTATGAACAAAATTGTTCGTTGGTATCCAAAGTTGACTGGAATATATATATAAAAACCAACTGTATAAATTATGCTATCGAATAACGAGTGCGAGAACCATAAATTTAGTTCAAAATCAGTTTCTTTTTTTGCCTCTTTTGTGATATGATTGCGTGTTCACATTTATCATACAAACTTCTATTCATTCGTTTGGAACTACCATTACTGCTGCCAATGAGATGTGTTGATGCTTCAACACAACACACAACAGCACCATGGGTGAAGTCGTTAGACATAGGCATACATAATTTCAGGCGAATTGTGCTTTTATTTATATCGGATTGAATTAAAGTTATTCAATAGATTTGGGAAAATATGAAAGCCGATTGGCGACGCAGAAAGCAGACATATACATTCTATGTAATGTGCTTACAAAAGACGTAAAAAAGGGAGACACGAAAACAGAAAATCTCGCTTCTCCAGCTTTATGAGATAGGAATAGTTTCCATTTCGACTCCACTTACGATTGAATCACAATGTTTGCGTATATAGCAGCTATTGTACTAATCTATTTTCTTCATCACTTTGTATGAAAATAGCAGCTGAGCTCAGCCAAATAAGATAATTTATCTCAGTAGATATACTGATGCATTAAATTGAAACATTCAAACGCATGCGGATACGAAGGAACTAAAGAAGGACCAATTCAAGAATGTTGTATATCGTCTGGTGTTACTATAATTCGTATAAAATAATTAAATGCTAAATGCTAGTTGTTGTTGGCAGTTTTTCCAAACGAATATTAATAATAAACTCGGTGTAAATAAACTCAATGACAATAGCAATAGCTTTTCAAATCCAAACGAAAAATTCAATAACCAGCCGAGCTCAAGGTATTTTATAAAATTTGAGGAATAAAGGAATTTTATAAAATACGTATAAAGAGAAAATGAAAATTGAATAATAATCGTTAATAGTTTTCATTTATTTGGCTATCGAAAATGTTGTCTTAACTACCAAAAAATGATTCAAGTATGCTCTCTCATTGGTGTAAATGCAAATGAAGTTTTATCATTTGCAACATCAGTTCAAATACATGGTGAATTTGTATTTCGTTTCGAAATTCTTCCCTACCAAAACGGCATTTTTTATCTATTGAAATGAAATCTTGAGTAAACTTCCTCTTGAATTTCGCTTATCTTGCTCTTATATATATACTTGTGTTCAAATGGCTCCCTCCAAAAATTCATCACATAAGAAGATAAACAAACTCAGTACTTGCCACAGCAGTGAAACGAATATCATAAAAATACCAACTATTTCATTCTTTTTTCACTGGCAGACATGGTAAGTACACTTTCGTCGAATCGATAAGTTTTGTAAACATTAAATGGAGCTTTAATGTTTTTATCTTAAAAAAAAGAAAATTGTAACATTTGTAATTTCATTGAAAGTACTGTTTGTTGATTGAAAATGAATTGCAGAGTAAGCGATAAAAAGGGCATAATAATTTGTTGAAATAAATAAGAATTTAGAAAAGATGGAAATTAGTGTGAGTGATGTGCATGAAACGATTCACCTTGTTATCGATGTCCTTTCGTGTAAAATTGGTAAAACTGTGCCGTCCTGCTAACCAAACCATCAAAAGCCGTCAATAAGGCTCATAATCGAAATTAGATATTCTCTTTTACTCTGATTCTATTTTGATCGATGTTTGTTTAATGATAATGGCAATTGATAATTGATATATTGTATCGGCTTAATATACCATTACATTGAATGTGTGTGTGTGAACAAAAGAGGTTGTTGAATGCGATATGAAAAGCAGAACGAACCATACCAAACCAATTTAATACGGAACATAAACCATATGAATATTTATTCCGTTTTATTAATTGTCGATTAAATACTTTAATAAAGGCATGACATCCTATAGTTTAAACAACATATAAATATTTATGAACATCAATTTCGAAATAAGAGCACGATAATTATAGAATTTGTTACAAATGCTCGATGTAATGGTCATAGCATTTGGGAATGAGGCTTGAATTTAAAGCGGTCCCATTGTGTGTCAACTATAATTTCTGGATGTTGTTTCCTAATTAAGTTTTGTGCACAGAATATGCGGGAATCGACAGCTACGCACACAATAACCAAAATACCATTAGATATGCTCGTCGACTAATCCCCCTAAGGTCTATCTGCATAACATCATCTTTATTAATTATATCAAAAAATTAGTCATTTGATCAGGTCATATGTGAAAAGCTATTGAATTTTGTAATTATGTTGTAGCTAGCGATGGTCAAAATTGGGAATTTATGTTTTTGGAAAGAAAAGTTTTGAATAAAAATAAAAACCAGTAAATATACACACCGGTTTACGTAAACTATCTTTCCTCTAGAGAGGAAAATTCATTTATGTTGATAAATTTACGGCACGGCGATGCTTCCGCCGTTGCGTTGGTCTATGACATTACATATACTGTCGAATGTCACAAGGCCTGTATACGTTGTGAAAAAAACACATTACTATCGGTGGTGGTCATTTGACACAAAACTGGGTGTACATTGAGCACCCACACATATGTTTTGATATAGACCAATTTTTTGTGTCTGCGTGCATAGACATTAGATTGAGATATTTTCAGCTAGCTGAATCAGTTCAGGTAGCTGTCGTCAAGTGCTGAAATGAAATGACAAAAATTGCACTCCCATCGTTACAGTCACTTCTTTTGTTTTCACTCCACTTCAGCGCCTGACGACAGCTTCCTGAACTGATTCAGCCGGCTAAAAAATATCTTAATATAATGTCTGTGCATATATGTTTATGTATGGAATCAATGGAAAAAAGTAGGACGGAAAATATAAAATGATCGATTTGTGAATATTTGATAGAAATTGATTCATAAATATAACACAACATTGCCCTATAACCCTTTGCTCGATTCAAAGCTGGGAACCAAACAAAGTTCTAATGTATATACAAGCAGTTTGATAGTAACCAATACATAGTACGCTACAGTAGCTGTAAGTAACATTCGTTACTATAACTGATCATTATTAATGCTATTCGCTTCATGTTTGTGCCCATTTGCTTGTTTGTACGGTCACATTGGTGTTTCAAAATTTGAGTTGCATTTTATTTGAGCGCCATTTATTTGCAAAGTGTACAAAAAACATCAAATACAAGAAGAAATGACGTGTACACGATAGTTTTAAGTTTCGTTGAAATGTTAATATCTATATCACATATTCATCAAATATTTGCCATTGTTTCGATGAAATGAAGCAGAACAAGTAGTTTCTTGTCAATGATTTGAGTAAAAGACTTTTACTAAACAAAGCGGTCAAAATAGTTTGCGCGCTACATTGTCTTGTTTAATTATCGTAAGAAAGACTGGTTGCTGTATGTTGTATTTAATTTACTGTCAATCAATAAATAAATGAGAATGTGTGTCCAAGACGAAATAAAAACGAACAATGAAACCGACAAACAAACAAGTGAAGTTCGAAGAGCCACAACAGAAAACGAAATAAACTTGTAGCGATAGATAAAAGAAACATTTTTTTCTATTTTCCTAATATTTCCCTGTCACGAATGTAATGAAAAATATGGATCATTAAACCAAAAGAAAAGCCAACCATCAGTCCAATAATTCCTACCATCGGCTTCTTCTCTAAACATGTATTGGCCACACAATGTAATGTATGCACAACATGATGTCTTTTGTATGTTGTTTTTTTCGTTGAAAAAAGAAGAAGTAAATAGAAAAAATCATGGAATGAATCCAGTTCGTCTGTCGTGTTTTGAGTCACTGTGTACATTACAAACAGAGAATGATGGTTGAAGAGTGACCAATTTTCCATGCAATTTTTTGACATTTTTTCAACACATTAAAATAGCGAGTAACTTATTGACTTTTTGAATTTACAAATTTATTCTTGTGACTTCCACGGACTGAAAGCGCTTATTTAGATTGGTCGATTTTTCTCTAAACAATACGTTTATGATTCATAAACTTACAACCCGGATACAAATAAATGTCTTTCTCGTTATGTGCTCTCAATTTGCATGTGCTTCAAAAGCAGTCGTTTTGCCATTCATTTTAGCGATTTTACATTCTGCTGCTTACGTATATTTTACGTGCTGTACATTACATTCGAAAGTGGACTCAAAGCGCTATTCAACAGAAAAAAGTGGGCATAAAATAAAAATTGAGTTGAAATCAATATAAAATGGAAAATTGGTTTGAATGAAACCTTATATATCGATTACGTTTAAGTTTAAAATCAATTTTGATTTTCAATCGTCTTCACATGGAAAAAGTTGTTTATGGTTAAAAAGTGGTTATTCACTTTGTGTGTGTGTGTGTTTTCTTATTATCACGAATTGAATTTGAATCGCTCCGTCTGACCTTATTTCATGTGTATTTCAGCATGATGTATGGTTTTATGAATTGCTATATTTGTAATAATGTTGAAACGTGCTAAATCCAAAACCGCACATGCAATGCAGTGATATGTCCATAGTTTTTAATGAGTGGTCAAACCAAAGGCTGAACTCAATAAATTCTCCATTTACTACAAACCGCATCTCACTATCATCTCCGTACTGCAACAGTTTAGAACAATAACTCTTGAATCCAAATTCAATTGATCATTATTACAAATTGTAATCGAAAATCATATTTTTAATTCATTTTTTTTCTCTTTATCTTCTTTATGCAGGAAAATCGATTGAACAACATGGAACGACGAAAAGGTACTGGCTAATAACAATATGGGAGTACATCACAAGCACTTTGTTTAAAAAAACCGCGATTGATATTTTTGCGATGACCACAAACCCATGATGGAAAATTTGTTTGGATCCGTAATGAACACATCGATAATAGATATTTGGTTTGGAATTGTTTGTTCGAAAACGTTGTCAATTGCATTAAATTCATCATTCATACCACGCTGCTATTGTCATAAGTGGGAAAGCAATCAAAGCAACAGCTTACAAAACAACTGTAAAATTGATTCGGGCAATATTAAATTGCAAATCATGCAAACAATGCCATTAAGGAAATACGAATCCTTATATGCCACTGAAGAGAGACATGAGTAGGTTTATGTAGCGGTAAGTATGGGTGAAATGAATAGCAAGCCCAAATGTTACATTTCTTTTTTACCGGCCATTAGCTGCTATTGTTTTATTGTTTCTATTTCAAATGAATGTCAAAGTTAATTGATTTTTATTGATAGACGTGACATTTATTAAATTCATATTTCAAATTCATTCAATTCGAAAATCGTGCATTTGTTTAAATATTTACTCTTTAAAATGACAGACTATGCCGTATGATTCGCATAGTACGTTTGTTTATTTATTTAATTTTAATGTCTATTTTACTTTACAATCAAACTCTATAGAAAAACTGTATCTTATATTGTAAACTGCATAGTCGGATTATCAAAGTAGACCCAAAAATCAATAAATAATAATAATAATAATTTAAAAAAGCTGACGTTGTCAGAGTAGGTTATTTCGTTTCTCTGTCATATTTTATCTTATAAATGCCATAATTTGGGATTTTTAATGCCATCATTTGACATTTTTGTGGATAACATTGAATGCACAAAATTCAATTGTTGAATAGTTTAGCTAACAGAGACATAGAGTGTTTATGAAAGTTATGTATAGTTCGCTATTTATGAATATGCCCATCCAGTAAACAGCCAGTTATATTAATAGCCTGTCTCTCGTCCCCTCTAATTTTTATTTTTAAAAAAATGCCCTCTTCAGTGACAGCTCTATGTTAGGAGAACGTGACCGAATTCGTAATGCGGTGGGTTGGGAACTGGATGAATCAGCAACGTCATCGAACAACAATGGCGTACAACAATCTAGTTGGGTTGGCGGAATCGGTAACGTTGGTGATGGCACTGAAAACAATAGCGTCGGCGCTACTGCTCGATCATATTCACAACATCAGTGTAAGTATCAGTCATCTTGATGAGATAGTGGTGACCTATATATTTCTAGTTGACACCATGTGCTTTCACCATATCAAATAGTTTTACTGGTTATATTGATTATTGTTTGTTCCTTCCAACAAAACCGCATAATTCTAGATGATGATGAGTATGACGATGCACCCAACAATAATTTTGGTGAAACCAGTGGCGATATTGCAAACGCCTTTGCTGGCACCGGAAAAGAAGTACGATATGCACCACAACATTCGTTTCCAATTTGCAACCAAGCACCATTACAAAGAGCACATTCCAGGTAATGCGGATACAATGGCGTACTTCTTCTTTAATGTATACCAAATTCGAAATGGTGCTTATAATTAAAATTGTTTTTTTTTTTTTTTTTTTTTGTTTTTATTTATGATAGCAGATCGTTGTCATCGATACAGCCAGAGCCCTTCATGATAGCGCAAGCAAAACAAACAAATCGCCGAGTATCGATCAATGTGGGCGGTGTACGGCATGAAGTATTGTGGCGGACATTAGAACGTTTACCACATACACGGCTCGGCCGATTACGCGAATGTACAACACATGAAGCGATCATCGAATTATGTGACGATTATTCTCTAGTTGATAACGAATACTTTTTTGATAGGCATCCGAAAAGTTTTAGTTCAATATTAAATTTTTATCGTACCGGTAAATTACACTTGGTAGACGAAATGTGTGTGTTAGCGTTTAGCGATGATTTAGAATATTGGGGCGTTGATGAATTATATTTGGAATCGTGTTGTCAACATAAATATCATCAGCGCAAAGAGCATGTGTTTGAGGAAATGCGAAAAGAAGCCGAAAGTTTGCGACAACGCGAAGAAGAAGAATTTGGTGATGGTAAATATTCACAATATCAAAAGGCTTTGTGGGACACACTCGAAAAACCAAACACTAATCTGGCGGCAAGGGTGAGTGAATCGTTTGACTTTTATATTTTTTTAAATATCTATCATAACAATATTTCTTCTTTTTTAACTTTATATGATTCAAAATAATAGCCGATAAATAAAATCTAACCAATATCTTTTTAAAGTTAAGACTTGTTCAACGAAATCTACATGAAAAGAACACTGGATACAGTATATATGCTGTAAAAAGTGTTCTGAAATTATTTTATTACTTAAACACCATCAAGTTCTGTGAAATGTTTAAAAAATGAGAAACATTTTTTTGTAAAGAACTTTTCTCTTGAAATCATTCATCAATTTCAATTATAGTAATTACAATCTGAAATGAAAGCACATTTTTCGCAAAGACAAGCATAAAATGACTGACTTATTTTTATTCAAACACACGTTGAGATTCAAAATAACGAGTTGAAAGTGGCTTGAATGGACTCACACCAATGGAAATAGATTTAAATTACCGATTTTATCGACGAAATGGCTAATTTTTGTGCATAAATGTCGTTAAAATACCAACCTTCATAAAAAGTCAAATGAATGTTCTTTCGCAGACTTCCAAAGAATAGACGAAGTGTATTTTTAACAAAGACATGTAATAAATAGCACCGACAACTGTGAATGCAATTTGAATAGAGAAATGAACCATGAAAATGGAAAAATAAAATGCTACGGCACACTCACCCACATTGAATGCGACACACATCGAAAATTTAGAATTATTGAGATCATAAATTTGAATGCTAAATATAAATTTCCACCCTTTCTTCCATCTATATATTTTCGATGTTTTTTCCGGTTGTTGGCCATTCTGTAGCTGGTTTCTCTGAACATTTTTGCCCCGTTTAACATTTTAAATCGTTGCCATGTGTATTTTTGGATGTGCGCTCTCACCTGCCTTTAGTCGGTACATCAGCCTCAACAAACAGTTCAAATAAAAAGAAAAATGAAGCATATTGAATTTGCATTTCGTCACAATGCTGTACACACTAAAACTTTACTCAATTGTCGCGTTTGACTTTGGCGTTCTAATGGAATCAAATTTGAATATTAAAACATTTTGAAGCCATTCAAGCATTACCACCAACATAAAATACACTTTGCGTAATCATAATTTTTAAATGTTGAACTTCTCTTTTACACTGTATCATATGATTGGAGCGTTCGAGTTTTGTCTATATTGCATAGCCAAAAACCATATTGGCTGAAATATTGGGATATTATGTTCGAAAGAGAGAAAGAGAGACCTTTGACACCAAAAACAAAATGACGGAAGTTAAAGAATGTTTTTCCTTATGTAATATATTGTTGTCTATGTATATGTTCAATTTTCCTCGGCGCATGAAAAAGCTTTATAATTTTTCGTCACTCTTCTTCATCTTTATTCCTCAAGAAAATTGAATGCAATCTAATTTTAATACTTCGTTGCGAATAATAATATTACATGTACTCAAATGCTGAAATGACAAATAAAATAAAAAAAAGCAGCAACGAACAAAACTGATCATGGTGACATGAAAATGTAAAATAAAAACTGTGTCCATAGCTCAGCATATCCTAACCTCCAGCTGCTTTCAAATCCATTGCATATTTTCGGTGGCAAAAACAGGTTATCACCTGGATGTCGGCCAAGTTGAACAAATATTATAAGAAGAACAGCCAAGGAATTGAACAACCGTTGTTAATAACCATATAATATATATTTTTTGGTCGCCACATGTAATGCTAACAGAACGTTGTATACCACACAATACTGAATGCACTCTCACTCACATTTGGTATCAGCATAATGAGCCCAATTCAAATTGGAAATCAACAGAAATAGTGCATAACACGAAATGTACCCATTCGTAGCACCTTGATCCACAACACTATCGTTCGTTGACAATTGACTATTCTTTAAAATATTTCCTCATTCGACTTCCCTTCGATGGTCTGAAGTTTCGTTTAGTACTTTCAGAGTGACATGAAAATACACAAGTAGAAACATCAACCTTTCAATAAATTTGGTGTCGAATGCGCGTGTTCTTTCTTTATTCTGGTCTTTCTTTTATTTTAATGCTTCAATTACGTAAATATTATTTTGTTCACGTTTAATATTGTGTCCGAAAACCGACCAATGCTTATTCTCACATGGTCGTTTTTGTCGGACCGATTCGGTTTGTTCATATCAAACCATAAATTATGAATGATGTTCATTTTCAACAATCAAGCCAAAAAATATCGAGAAACCTCCAACTAAACAACATAAAATGTCAATTCATATTTTAAAATCAAAATTATTTGGTGTGGCCCAATTTCGTTCAGTGTCACCGCTCTTCATCTCACGTGTGTATTTCTTAAGAATAACTTCCTCATTAAAATGCTATTTCATTCAAAATATGCTCGTAAGCCGCGTATAACATTGAATGTTCGCTACACTATTATTAACATTATGTTAGCAGCAACCAATGAAACGGAGAGGAAAAAAAGAATCGCGTTTTTTTTGACACTCCTTTCAACTGCACCGCATTGCATTTTAAATGGCCATTTAATTCAAAGTTCAAAGTTAAGGCCTACGTCGAATACATTCGTCATACCTTAATAAATTTATCTCTGCTGTAAAAGCGTCATTTTATGATTTAGAGATAGAATACCAACGAAAAATTATTCAAATTTATGTGTTAAAAAAATAGTCAACGGCTCGTGTACGATTATACATCAACGAATCTCGAGATATTAGCTAAAACATCATAGCTTCGTCAATTATAATGCAATTGATTCGATTATTTATCTAAATTCCTTTATTCTGTGCATTGATTGCTCAAGAATAAATATTGATCATTTTCAACGAATGTTCACGTGAAAAATAAGTTGGATAAAGAGAAGAGAAATTTAAAAAACTATACTCCAATAACTGTCATAGTCTGTTAACAAAAGTTGTGTGCTTTGCTTTTATGTAAATAAATTATCAGTGGAAATAAACTAACATATAATTTTGGGTTACATCGAAATATAGCCGTAATCAAAGCTTTTGTGCAAAATCTGTATATGCTTAAAAAAGTGACACTTGCATTTCGTCCAACTTCATAAAAAATTCTTTAAGTTAACTCTGTGCTCAAAGGAGATACATTACTCAGATACTGCGGTTGTGCGTTGTAAATAATTTTTTGTATATATAGTATTTTCGCACATTCATTCATAGTCTTTTCTCAGATCGTGATTGAATACCAAAAACTGACGAAATAAATCCATTTTTCGTCATTTTTTTTCAATAAAACAACAATCAATTGAAAAAGCCTTTCTTCATTTCAGTACAAGTGTATTCAAATGATTTTCATGTGATTGATTATTTCAACAAATTTCTCACTTCCAGAAGCACAACATAAAATCAGCTCCACGCTTAAAATTGTGAACATATTGTGCTTTTTCACGAATCCAAACAAACTAGGCAAAGAATTGCATTTCATTAGGTTTGAAAAAGCTCTAGAAAATGACTTCATTGAATACGGTTCGATAAAGTTAAAATCACGGGCCTTATAATGAAAGCAAAACAACCCAAACGAAAAGCATAAGAAAAAGTTAAAAGTTTCTTTTCAGATTCGAATTTCAGGGGCGTAATTTTATTCGCACTTTTCTTCGATAGACTACTTAAAATGTTGACAAATTCATAATCAACACAATGGAAAACCATAGATGTTGATTCAAACATTTGTCATATAAATGTTTATTTACCATAATTTGTGTACGTCTTTTAATTTTTCTCTAGATTATAAGAGTATATTTATATACATTTTTAAAATGTGTTGATTTTTTCAATTGCTTTGGTTTTTCTATGTTGTTTTTGAATTGATGTTGTTTTTACTCTATAAGATGCTAACGCGGCGAAAAAAAAAATATTTATATAATATTAGTTCAGTTGATTTTTCGGTACCTGTTTTTCTTCTTTTCCGTTTATTTTTATTATTTCAAAATATAAAGCAGACTTTCGCATTATTTTATCTCCAATTCAATTTTCAAATCTATTTGATAGATTTTTCCGTTCTCTTTTGTTTATATTTTTATTTCAGTACATTACTTATAATTTAATCTTTACAAAAAAAAAAATGACATTCCATAATTAATGTGTGAAAAACTTTTTCTTTTTTTTCTATTTCCTTTATGAGCAAAAATAAAAAAACTGGAAGATGCCGGTGTTTCTTTGATATTTAGATAATAAAATTAAGATGTTGATAAGTAACGGTGTTGATGTGAATATTGTATCGTTTTGAATAACAAATTTTATGGAGAGAAATTTGTTTTTTAACATTCGGTGGGAATTGGTACATGGCGATATGACTGTACGCACCATATATAACATACGAACCAACCAAAATCGAAAAATGAAAATTACAAGTATTACACGACGCATTTTTTTGGCAGAAATTTTTTGAGAATCAAATCAAGAGATTTAACGCAACGACGAATAATAATTTATGAACGAAGTGTAGTTTGAATCAAACATAGAACGCTTATTCCGTAGACAAGCGGCCACAAGTTTGTTCAGCATTTTTTGTGACTCATTTCGTTCGTTCTATATCATCATTTTTCTTATCTTATTCCATTTTTTTTTTAACGATTAGTTGAAAGTGTCAGAGTTGAAAGAAAAAATGTTCAATAAATACTGGGCGCTTGGCTTGCACGGAATATCGCCACACAAAACCGCACTTCGCGAATGTCAATGTTTTGTTCAAGAGATTTTTGTTTGTTTTGTTTCATAGCTTTAAAAAAATGCTTTTTTTTTCTTTCGTGTGGCGCATCAACTTTGATGCGTTCGAAATAAATGTTGTTGATGAGATATGAACCAAATTTAAAAAGAAATTCAAGTTTCAAAATATTTTTTTTTTTTTCATACAAAAAAAGAAGAAACATTTAGAATACCAAAATTTGAAACTTCACGCTAAAAAAACAGATGAAAGGAAAGAAAAAGAAACGAACAATCACAAAACAAATGATTAAAAAGTTTATTGACTGATTTCCCTAAACCCACCTTCATGTTTCGATGCATAATGAATATTTGTTGTTGTTGTTTTATGTACATATATATAAGAAAACTTTTATTTTAAATAAACGTACTTTTCTTTTTTTAATTTACCGATAAAAAATAATAGCAAAATTGACATGAAGATGTCAATTAATTGTAATTGCACGAGAGCATGCACCCATTAAATCTTATTTGTGTTTGCGCACACTGACGGGAGTGAAAACACATACACACACAACATATATATGCGGATAAATAATGTATACTCCTTATCCGTATGTTATGTAATTACCGATACGGCTTTTGTGTCATTAAATTTTTTATGCACACGTACGACATCAAAAACACAACTCAAAGTCTCAGTTGCGCAACGCTCAACAAATAAAGATATTGGAAAATGATATATATTCTGCCGCTCTCGGTCATTTGGTTCTTTTTTCCTGTTTGAAGAAAAAAAGAATTTTTCATGGCTATTATTTCAATTTATTGTGTATATACAACAAGCTTTTCACTAATTAAACTGGCATGAAATTATAGGTGTAGTTTTCCTCACTGTAAAGTAATTTGTAATAGTTAGTCCACACTGTTATTTACGTTGTTTTTGTTCCTGTGTTCTTGTGCTTTTGAGTTTTTTGTTGCAAACAATGTACATCCAACTCTTTATTCATACATATAACAAAATTGAAAAATATGATATTTTTTTCTATATATGTAAACATTTTGACACGTTGACATTTGTCTAGATGATGAGGCAAAGACGAATAAAGAAGAAGAAAAAAAATCACATACACGCATGTATATACCGTTTGCTTTGTCAATAAAGCAAAATTGAATAATAAATTCATCGAAAATTTTGTACAGAATGTAATATAACATGAATGTCTGTCACGCGAAAATGTTAAAAATTTCAATCATACGAAAAATTCATAAATAAAAATTCGTTATATATCTTTTGAGCACAAACGACATACCGTTTTTTTTTCTTTTATAAGAAAATATGTATTTTTCCTTGTCAATTCATCAAATATTCGATCACATTTCCTGCTTTGTGCAATATGAAATGAAGTGACAGCATGCCTCTGTTTCGCTAAGTAATTCACTTTCAACAGTATTTTCAACAGAGTAACAACACATTTTCCATTAAAGAATGTACACAGCATTGTTATTTAACACATTTTTAAAATTGATATTTCTGTGACCATCATTAGTGTAATAGTGATGATGCCGCATTACACTCAACGCCTGTGTTGAGTACCTTCAATTAATTGGCCATTTCGAAATTGACATCATTTATATAATTGCATCAACCGAATTGAATTGCATTATGTATTGCATGATGGACTATATTATAACCATCTTCACGCGGTAGCGCTATTAAATCTGCGAGCATTTTTTTATATATATATTTTTCCATTCTCTTTATAATGTATTATTTCAAAGCGATTGAAATGTGCAAAACTCACTAATTGCGAAAATCGAATGCCGAAGGCGATGTTAAGTGCGTATTTGAAGACCATAGCATAATGTAGCATATTTGTTACTATTTATGCCAACGCATGCAATTATCACAGTTGTGATGTTATCATTTTAAGTTTTACAATGAGTTATATAATTGCGGTCAATTTAGAACTATTTATCTTCGTTGTAGTAATGAATGACATTATTTGATTATTAGCTGTTGGAGGAAAACTTCTTTTTAGCATATACGTATAAACAGAAATTTAGACATTTCATTTATTTCTTACTCTGCTTTCTTTTGAATTCTTTTCTGGGTCTACTGAAAATGCAAATATTCTTTAAAGTGATTTGGTTCTTACATTAAAATATAAATTTTTGAAAAAAAAAAAAAAAAAAAAATCTGAAAAAAGTATATTGAGCACATTCTGGATATGTCCAATGAATTAGAAATGCCGTAATGCAGAACCAAATCGTTTAAAAATCTTGCGTCTCTTTTTTTCTTTGTTTATTTTATGAAACAACAACACATTGTATTTAATTGAATAGAAAAACAAACACACAGACACACAATCGGATCTTGGCCGAATATTATTACACATATCGGGACATCATAGCTGTTTGGCCACGTTTCAATTTTTCGAAACTGATAGGATTTCCAAAATTGAAATTTCGCAGTAGTATTGAGTTTGATAATGATCAACATTGATTAAGATGAATAAAAAAAAACACAATGGACAGCAATAAATTTATTTGTAGAGAGAACAGAATTGATACACATTTTTATTGGGTTTATCTATTCGTAAAGGATCTGTAATCAAACACACAAAAAAATATTATTCCAAAACAGAAATTAGCTAATATTCTCAACAACACACAACACAAACACACGATCAAATCTTTTGAATTTTCTTAACATACAGTTTTTTTGTTATGTAGAGAGCTATTGATTTTCATTTTGTTTCATTTTTCAAACTCTTTTTCCGGTTTTTGGATTTATAATAGACACAACACATACATAATAGAAAAGAAACACATTAAGAGTGTGGATAAAAAGCACTTTTCACGAAATTAGCATTTTTTATTCATTTTTTTTGGGCATCCGTGAACCACCCATTTTTATGCAAATGAATTGTAAGAAACGCGTGTCGGAAGATCTAAAATCGAAGTGAACACAATACGCTTGGATAATTCGACATTTCGTTTCATGTAATTTTTTCTGCTGTACCTTTTTTTTCATTCCATAGACGTTTTATTTTAACTTTTATTCCGATCGAGGGATGACCAACCCAATTAGTGGTAGTTTTGATACGTATTTATCTGTCTGAAATTTTTTTCTCTCCTATAAGTAAAACTAAAAACCGAACACGTACATTTAGATTATTTTTAGTAATAATTATATTAACGCGATCATCCATTGTTGACTAGAAACAGAAACAACATTGATCAGTCAAATGAAAATTGAAACAAATAAAAAAAAACCGAAAGAAATACAAAAACCCGAACGCCCAAAAGAAAAAGGGAGAATTCACGATTACACAACGAATTCCAGACATAGAGAAATCGATTGTGTTCTGGTTACTGAAACAAAGTGATAGAGTGAGCGAGAACAACACAATCAAATGTTAAGATGAAAATGATCGGAAATGTGAAGGAAGAAAATGTTCATTTCGTGTACATAATACAGAGAGTTGATTGTGAAATAAAGTCAATCATGTGCCTGTATTAAATTCATGAAAGAATATTTTTTTGTTTCTCATTTGTTGCATTTTTAGTTTGAACATTTGATTAGCTAATGAACAATCTGATTGAGTCGAATAAGATAAAGACACCAGTAACCTATCAAATATATATTTTAAGATCATTGAAATATGAGCAAAACATGAAAACACCCAAAATGAAAACCAACAACAACAACAAAATGTATTAAAGGTTCAATGTGGACTTTTTCTTAAACTCTTCACATTCCAGATTATTGCTGTGATATCAATCCTCTTCATAGTTTTGTCGACAATAGCCTTAACGTTAAATACAATACCGGCACTGCAACCCGAACACAATCAACGTAATGGTACGCATAAAGGCGGTACACAACAAGACAATCCTGAGCTGGCAATTGTTGAGGCCGTTTGTATATCGTGGTTCACACTTGAATATTTATTAAGATTTGGGGCGTCACCAGATAAATGGAAATTCTTTAAAGGTGGTTTGAACGTGATTGATTTGTTAGCCATTCTTCCCTATTTTGTGTCGTTATTCTTATTGGAAACGAACAAAAATACCACGGACCAGTTTCACGATGTGCGTAGGGTCGTGCAGGTGTTTCGCATCATGCGTATCCTGCGAATCTTAAAGCTGGCGCGTCACTCAACTGGCTTACAATCATTAGGCTTTACATTACGTAATTCGTACAAAGAATTGGGACTGTTAATGTTGTTTCTGGCAATGGGTGTTCTAATATTTTCGTCATTAGCATATTTTGCTGAAAAAGACGAGGAAAACACCAAATTCATAAGTATCCCTGAAACGTTTTGGTGGGCGGGGATCACAATGACAACTGTTGGGTATGGAGATATTGTACCCACTACCCCATTGGGCAAATTAATTGGTTCGGTGTGTTGTATTTGTGGTGTACTTGTAATTGCCTTGCCCATTCCAATTATTGTAAATAATTTTGCCGAGTTCTATAAGGTACTGATATATTTTCATTCAAATTTTTATACATTCAATCCGATTTATTGATTTTTTTTTTCATAATTTCTTTTTTTTTTTTTTGAACTGGTTACATTTTTTGGTTTATTTGAAAAAAACTCACACACACTTCAAATGATACAATTTTTTGGAAACATACATTTTATTAAAAATCACATCAACACCTGTATCATAGAATCAAATGCGTCGCGAAAAAGCATTGAAACGCCGTGAGGCGTTAGATCGAGCCAAACGAGAAGGCAGTATTGTATCATTCCACCATATAAATCTACGGGATGCCTTTGCCAAAAGTATGGATCTTATTGATGTGATCGTTGACACAGGTAAGCCAACTTAATTTTATGCCAAATTAAAAACGATTTCTATACATTTATATGCATAAAACAATATGTACAATCATTTTTGCGGACAAAATCGTGTCGGGAATATTTGAATATTTGTAAATTAATAAACAAAAATTCGTTCGAGCCAAATCAATCTTCAGTTTTCCGTTTAACTCATGAATTGTGTGTCGGTTGGTAAAACTGCAGATTGGTCTGGTGAATTTCAATTTGTTTTCGCATGTTTAAAGTGTGTTTTAACAACGAGACAAAAAGCATATGAACCCTGAAATTTTTTTCCATCATAAATCATCGACCAATAAGAATTATTTCATCGAGCGTAACAACGAGATATTTGTAATGCTTGTCAGAATGAATGACAGCTGGAAAAAAATTTCATTGTTTATGTTAAATTAAATTGTTTGAAAAGTTGTTAGGTCGTGAAGTCACTTCGTATTTAATTTGTATTAGTTTCAGAAATGAAAATTTGCCGTGTAATGAAATAGTTAAGTTTTCAAAGCCAATCACATCGTAAGATATGCATGAATTGTCCCCTTATTGTTTTTTTTTATATGTTTGGTTTTCATGAAACTCTGTGAACTGTGTAGATAAGAAGCAAGCATTCGCTTTATTAAAGCTTGGGAAACTATGCATACTTGCTGCTTATCTATACCGGTCGTGGACGGCTGGATTTTCTGTTTGTTGTACGTTGTTGGTAAACTTTTGTCTACGCTTTCTGATAAACAATTGATGTGTCGAATATAATTTTAGCACAATACATATAGCATATTTGTTTAGCTTTTCTCCGTGTGAAAGCTATGGTTTGTTTCAAAATGCCTGCAACACAAGAAAACACTTTCTGTCTTTTTCGTCCGTTCCGTCTGTGAATTCTAGTTCGGAATAATTGTTTTTGTACATGATTTGATACATTTTCTACACGAATTGGATGTTACATTGCCGGTTAATTCCCACAATTGTCACCCTTATGCGGTAATCAAACGGTGACACCAGTTAGAAACTTTTGTGTCAGTTAACGATATCATAATTCCAATTGATTTTCTTGCTGTACTACTTCTTCGGGACTTTTTTGTTTTTCTATTTATCTCCCAATGAGAAGTCTCCGTTCTTTTGTATGCTTACACTATAAGCCTGAAAGCACTCCTTCAAAATTAATTTCATTATGGTATTGTAAGCTTACGTATGCATATCTAAGGTCTATCATTCAAACATTATCAGTGATGGTTTTTTCCTATCTGAATAGCGCTAGCTATTCGCAGCGTCTGTACAGCATTGCTGCCCAGATGCTGAATCGTAGCGGTTGCCGCACGCGCAACACACTTCGTTTGTACCGCACAGAGCATATACGTTCACGTTCTTTCTCTGTTCGACATGCGTTTGTATACTGACTATGGTATTAGTGTATCATACTCTGTGAGCTCACTGGTTACTTAGACTATATGACAATATGTTGTGTGGTAAAAAACGCGTGCGGCAACCAATTCGATTCAGCATTTGGGCAGCAATGCTGTACAGACGCTGCGAATAGCTAGCGCTATTCAGATAGAAAAAAAACCATCACTGAACCTCATGCAGACATTATTTAAACACATTGTAAATGCGTTACAATTTCACCGTGCTGGTAGGCTACCTCAAGATGATTTTCTCGTTGGTACAACACAAAGTAGTCAATGGGTCAAACAAGCAATGCATGGATGCTTAACATTTTCAATGAACCTATAATTATCTAACAAAATGTTTTTGTTGAAAATGTTAGAGAAAGATTAAAAAAAGAACAAATTCAAGCGCATCATTTTATTTATTTATTGTACAAGGTCAATCACACGAACGAAGTTTAGAAGCAATAAGAAATACCCTTTACATAAAAATTCGTGTAAAAAATGTTCAGTTATTTTACAAAAACAATACTTCCATCACCTAGTTCTCTTATCTATTATTCTATTTTTTCCGTTCTCTGTCCGTTGTCCTTTTTTTGTAAAAAAAAAACTCATATTCGCTGGATGCGTATTAACACACACATAAACACACACTTATTAACATATTTATCGAATTCCATCTTGTTTGTGCAAATAAAAAATCTGCCATTTTCCATCATCATTAAAAAATTGATTGAAAGGTGTTTCATTGGAAGTGCAGATGTTATTTGCTTGTGTGTGATGTTATTTTTGCACACATAAACAAACACACACACTCGATAATGCATATGTAGTTAAAATTAAAATAAAAAAAAAATGTCCCTTGGATCAAATGTTTCCCTACATTATGTGCCTTCCAACTAAATACTAGACGAGAATCACATAATTCAATGAATTTTTCCGTTTTACTTTCGGTACAACATTTATTTCTATCTTCGAGACATTAATTCCTATCTTTACACTCAATCTTTTCCTAACACCCTCTGTCTTTCTTGGCTTCATGTAATGTATGGAAATTCGAAATGTTGTCAGCCATATTTTACTTCAATTGCATTTCATTGTTTCGTGTTTTTTTTTGTTCATTCGTTGCAAATGTAAATAACGTTGAATTGGAATTGTACAGAAAAGATGTTTACGTTCGTGAAACTAACTTTTATTTTGCCCAAAAAAATCGTGTTAAATATTAAATATACTCTCACGTATGAAAAATAAAATTCGAAATTCTAGCAGATACACAGAAAGAGTCAAATAATTTTTATTTTTACGTGAGGTCCTAAAAACTGCAATTGTTAATTTATTTTTCTTCTCTTTCTCCTTGATTGAATATCTCTTCCAGACGAAGAAGAGGATACCTAATCAGAATAGAACATTGAATTAAGTCCAATGACACAGAGCACACACTTTGACTTGCACACAAAATTTTGCAAAACATTCCAAAATGCACAAGCACTTGCAAAACCACAGACAAATACACAACATATACACACATGCGCCTGAACACAAGCACACAAGCACACAAGCACACATACACTCATGCACGTACAAGCTCTATACCGCGTTTTCGTACAGAACAAACAAACCGAAAAACAAACCTCTTGCGTGAACATACAACAACGAAAAAATAAAACAGAAACACACACACATAAAATATATTTGTTGACACCGAATAATTAAAATCGCTCATAAGATAAAGTTATGACAACAGTTGAATTACATTTGAATAAAATAATAGATTTTAAAAAGGAATAGTATAAAATCTCTGTTAATTGTTAAGAGATAGCGCAACTTTCTTTTTTGGAAGTTTGTGAGATGACTTTCACAGAACGGGGACCGTATTATTGATGTCGCTGTATAGATGAAAAATATATTTCGTTGTTACTACTTATAAAATGTTAAAAAACATATATTAATCTAGATTTTATTGAATAGGAAAGCGTTTAACACTCAAATTTCACATTGAGATTAATACACAAATAATATACGTATATTCAGGGCTAGGGGGGTAGACACACAAACTCGAAACCTAGGAAACATTAGAACCAATTAGGTCATGTCAAATATGTACACGTTATATGCGTTTTACTAGGGAAAAAGATAGCAATAGAAAGACTCTCCCCTAGATTCGGGGCCTGTCCGAGCAGAGGCAATTAAATGCAAATATCGTTAACGATAAATAAATAAGAAAAAGCTTTGGTAAAAGTAGTTCCAGAAAATCATAAGAGCATCTTGAAACGAACAGAACTTCCAAGCACAAAAGTTAGCTCTGTGCACTGAAAGAGCTCAAACAGGCTCTGAATATATTTAAATATTATCTCAATTTGTTTTTCAAGTCGTTTTTAAGATCCTTTTCAAATTGTTTTTTCATTAGAGTAAACATACTTTTTCACAATGAAATGTGGTAGTCGTAATTAATATTTACTGTGTGTTTGTTCTTTTTTAGGCAAAAAAAAAATAAGTTTTATGATAAACTATATTTACTGTGCCTCAAGTATTGTATAATTAGTAGTATTAAAAGTTTTCGACTGAGCGATAAGTAAAATTTTCTTTCAAACAAAAAAAAAATAATTAATTTCACTCCAAACACAAACACAAATATAATTTTATCTTAAATAACTAGTTTACTTGCATACAAGCATTGTTATATGTACATGCATACACATAGCAGCACTATACGTCCATTAGTAGTATATTATACGATAAATTATTCATTTAGTTGATAATTCTAGCTGATAATAATAACGTAGGAAAAAAAATTAAGGTGGAAAATGTGTATTTTACTAAAAAGTCTCTAATACGTGAAATAGATATCGAATCATATTGGCTCGAAACGAAATTATGTTTTCTTATTCCTCAAATCATTGCCGTTAATTGCACCTTTTTACGGTGCGAAAAAAAAATACAACGAATTATTATTTTACTGGGTAGGTTCTACAATTTTATGTGGACCATTTTCAGTGCCATTCATACGTAAGCCACATGGAATTTATCCTCAATCAAAGGATATCGTATTGTCGATAGTTTTGTCCATTTTTCATATATTTCTGATTTTGTAAATCAATGATTTTAAATCATCATATGGATCTGCGTCTCAATATATGCAGACGGATAAGAAAAAATGATGTCTTCAAACAGCCGAAAAAAAATACAATCGAAAACCTCCGTACTTTTAGGTTCACTTTCCTTCTTAGCTACACATATATAGTTGTTTGAATCTTTAAATAAACTTGTTAAGCCCATAGACAATAAGCTGTTGAAGAAAATACTAGGTCATGAAAACTATGTTTGTTTGATATTAGAATGACTTGAATTGCAGAATCTATGTTGTATGCAAAAAATCCTTCCGCAAACTTGCATCACAATGGAATAATTTATTGTGCTCGAACCAGAATCACAACAGAAAATGCACATTTTTCACAATGCGACAAATATAACCTTTTGTTTACATCCATCGACCGCAACATTTGAGGCCCAATGTAGTTAAAAGCCACTCAAAATTAAATCCCATGGCAAAAAAATTCGAATCCGACCTGACGGTAGCTGAACGGAAGGTGGAATTGAGCTACAATACAT